GATATAAAACACCTAAAAAGAACTAGACTTGGTCAACCATGTAGACACATAAGCATGCAAAAACTCCCCCACACTAAAAACTGGACAATGTCCCCATTGTCGATCATCAGCGTCAGGAAAGTTTACCCACATAATTAACCAACACACAAAAACAGAGAAAAGAACGAAAATAAAGAGAAGGGAAAAGTACAGACGTACAGGGTACAATTACTAGACCAGTCACTGTGAATCCGGATGTGTTGGCGGAGGGTGAAGGTAGTCAGACCCCGAGCATCAACGAGCGTCTGACCCATCATATCTCTCGTCCCATTGGGACCGAGGCCGCTCCATAGAGTTCAACTGAGGGGGAATTGTGTGGTGGTCGGTACCCTTCCTTCTTGACATGGTCCTGCAATGACCTTTTCGTGTATACTCGCATGCACATTTCCTCAATAATCTGCTTCATTGCCATAAGGGACACACACTCCTCCACGAAATTAACTGATGACTTCGGCTCATTATCTCGTAAGGAAATGGATATGGATTCTCCCAACACCGCCATGGTCAGTGTACAACCCTTGACATCGATCATTATGTTCGTGGTCGTAATGAGTGGTCGTCCTAGAAGGATCGTGTGCTCCTTCCCGTTGTCTTTCTCATCACCCACGTCAAGAACAACAAAGTCTACGTGGACTATCAACTTCCTCACACGAACCAACACATCTTCTACAACTCCATCGGGTTGACGGACTGATCGGTCGACTAGCTGTAGGCGCATCTGAGTAGGCTTCAAGTCACCAAGCCCAAGTTGCCGATAAACTGCGAGTGGCACGAGGTTTATTCCTGCTCCAAGATCGAGCATCCCCGAGGTCTCTTTCTCATTGCCGAAGGTTATATTGATCATGAAGCCCACGAGATCTCTTTCTTTCTTTGGCAAGTCGCATTGAAAGACACGCACTGCCTCGCATACCACCACCTCATCGCCACTGTCGAACCGCTTCTTAATCATTTCTAATTCTTTGAAAAGTCTCGTATAAGTTGGTATCATCTTGAGCACAGTGGGAGGTGGTAGATCGCCATTTACTTTCTTCAACATCATGTAGATGTCCCGCATCATCTGATGGTCCTTCTCTTCCAAGAGTCGGCCTGGGAAGGGAATCCTCGGCCTGTATGGGTTCAGAGACTTATGCAAGGCTGGCTTGGTAGGTGGTGTCACTGAGGCCTCTTCCATTTGTTTTGGCTTCCTCGGGCTCTCTTTCGTGTCTTGTTCCCCTTCGCCTACTATCTCCTCCTCGAAGTCGGGCATAATCACCATAACCGACTTCGCATGTTGCAGTTGACTTGACAACTTATCTTTATTTAACTCCAACTCGATGTTCCCAACTCGGGTGGCTATCTAGCCTATCTGGGCTTTCAATAATATTTAATATATATTTATATATATATATATAGATGTTGGTAATTGGTGTGAAATTACACGGGAATCCTACGAACTGATATGTATTTTTCAGTTCTTACAAATAATCTAAAAATAGAAAATTACAATTGAACTGAATTACAACTGAAAAACGGAAAGATTTTAGCCGAGGCGAGTAAAACTCTTTCCGCAAGAAGAATACGCCTCGTGTGTTGCTAACGGTTCAGGCGTAACTTCCCCAAAGATACAACAGCAAACGTCTCTAAATCTATAGCACACCAGATTTACGAGCTCCGGCAAACAGGAATGGAATCGAGAATTGAGCACTTAAAAATAAAAGGAATATTATGAAACAAATAAAAATATCATTGTTTCTTCTCTTTTGATATTTTTATATCTGATATTTGGACATATATTTTTCTTTTCTTTCTTTTCTCTTTCTTTTTTCTCTCTTTCTTTCTTCTTTTGGTGCGCTTTTTCCCTCTGCCCGAATGGAGTATTTATAGGGGAGGATTACCTCCCCATTTGAATATAAAATATTTTTATATTTTATTTTATTTTTTAATAATAATTGCATGTGGCAAAGTGGACAAATGGGCGGTGGGCATGTGGGAGAGATGCACCGCCCCACTACTCCCTTATTCTAACAATCCCCCACAAAAGAGAAAGTAAAGAAATACACATTTTTTACCGACTCTTGTGCTCAATCCTCACAAAACTCTATTGCATCAGAAAAGGTAGCTTTTGGCTTTGAACCTTTCTTATTAAACATCATCGGGTGTACTGGCGGCCTAGTGGACTTAATACCTTGAACTATTCCTCCATAGTGTACACCAAGACAATGACATTCACACAATAGAGTCTTAACTCCATTCCGTTCTAACGTTGTGTCCGTTTTGGTCATGGACAACACAATGGATTCATAAGTGTTTACATTTCAAGCGGCCCACACGTCACACTTATATAGGTGACCTGCCTATCAAGAGTATCATGTAATACTCCACCTTTACAAGGTTAGGGATTCATTAAAAATCCATATGACTTACCCTCACCACAATCAACAGGTCATCTTGCACTTGGAGTGCTCTAGGGAATAGATTTGGACATAAATAGCTTAGTTTTCCCTTTGAACCAAGTTCGTGGGATCTTCACTCAGCATGGTAGGGTTACCACTATGATCATTCTTTATATTGTGGATTTTTAAGCACATTCCCTCTAGCAAAATTCTCAATTGATCTCTATTCAATCCTTTCGTCAAATGATCAGCCAAATTTTCCTTAGACTATACATAGTCAATGGAAATAATACCATTTGTGATCAATTGACGTATGGTATTATGTATACGATGAATACGTCTAGACTTACCGTTATACAGTTGTTTTGCTCCCTACCTATAGTATCTTGGCTATCACAGTGAATCATCACAGGAGACAGTCTTATCCAACATGGAATATCGGATAAAAAAGTTCTAAGCCACTCGGCTTCTTTACCAGCTTTATCTAAAGTGATGAACTCCGATTCCATTGTTGGCCGAGCTATACACGTTTGTTTTGTGGATTTCCACGAAACTGCACCACCTCCAATACAGAAAACATATCCGCTAGTGGAGCGAGAATCTCTCGAATCTGATATCCAGCTTGTATCACAGTACCCTTCAAGTACGACTGGGTATCTTGAGTATTTTAGCTCGTATTCAAAGGCGTACCTCAAGCACTTTACCCTTCTCAAAGTATTCCAGTGCTCATGACTAGGATTGCTCGTAAACCTGCACAACTTATTCACTGGATAGGCCAAGTATGGTCGTGTACAATTCGTCAAGTACATCAGACTCTCTATTATCCATGAATATTCCAACTGAGCCACTGGTTGACCTTTGTTGACTTACTTTTCATCGAATGATCGTACACCTACGGTATCCCGACCCTAACGGTGTGAGGGTAAATTCTATATAATATAGAAAGAGCTTCTTCTTACCCGAGTTCAGATTTTTTTATAGAAGAATAAGCAAGCTGCTTGGGACTCCCCGGGTTTGCTTGACTGACGCCAAGAATCCCATTATTGATCGAATCGGCATTGGTCAATTCCAAATCTACTTAGATTTAGGCTGAGATCAAGGAGTGTTTTACACCTAGACTGTGCACCGTCATAGGTATCAAATTTCTTGAGCACTTTCTCTACATAATGAGATTGTGACAAGACAATTTCATCTTGGGTTCTGATAATCCTTATTCCAAGAATATCATCAGCCAAACCCATATCTTTCATGTCAAAATTTCTTTTCAACATTCTTTTCGTATCCATTATCACTTCATGGCTACTCCCAATGATCAACATATCGTCTACATATAGACATACAGTCACAAATGTATTTGATGTACTCTTGACATAAACACATTTATCACATTCGTTGATTTTGAAATTATTTGTCAACATCACATCATCAAATTTAAGATGCCATTGTTTTGGAGCTTGTTTCAGTCCGTACAAGGATTTGATTAATCTACACACCTTTCTCTCTTGTCCAGGTGTAACAAACCCTTCAGGTTGTTCCATGTATATTTCTTCTTCCAATTCACATTCAAAAATGCTGTTTTGACATCCATTTGATGAATCTCAAGATTGTGCACAGCAACAATCGAGAGAAGCACTCTTATCAATCCTAAACGCGTAACAGGTGAAAGGTATCAAAGAAATCATACTCTTCCTTTTGTTTAAAGTCTTTGACTACCAATAGTGTTTTAAACTTATCAATTGATCCATCAACTTTATATTTCCTTTTCAGGATCCACTTGCATCCTAAAGGTTTACAACCATCAGGGAGATCAACCAACTCCCAAGTATGATTTTGCATAATGGACTCAATTTCGCTATTTACAACTTCTTCCCAGAGAGGTCCATCTGGGCTAGACAGAGCTTCCTTAAGGGAACTCGGTTCATCATCCAACATGTACGTAATAAAATCAGGCCCAATCGTTTTAGCCGTTTTTACCCTTTTACTATGTCTCGGTTCTTCATTAGTACTCTCTGGTATAGAACCACTAGCAGTTTCATATGTTCGTTTATTAGAACTAGATTCTGCCCTTTCCTTCAGAGGAAAAATATTCTCAAAGAATATAACATTCCTCGACTCAATCGTGGTACCCACAGATACCTCTGGATTTTCTGATTTATGTACCAGAAATCTATATGTTGTACTATTGTACGCATATCCATTAAATACATAATCGACTGTATATTGTCTGATTTTCACTTGTTTAGGTTCAAGTTCTGAAACCTTATCCAAACACCCGCACACTTTCAGGTATTTATAAGACGGCTTACGATTTTTCCACATTTCGTAAGGAGTCTCATCTTTCCCTTTAGGTGGTATTTTATTCAGGATATGATTTGCTGTTAAAACAGCTTCCCCCACATGTTCTATGGTAATCCTGAATTAATCAACATGGCATTCATCATTTCTTTTAACGTACGATTCTTGCGTTCAACAACACCATTCGACTGCGGAGAATATGGGGTTGTCGTTTGATGAATTATGCCATATTCAGAACATATTTGTTCAAAAGGAGCTACATACTCCCACCCCTATCACTTCAGATTATTTTAATCTTTTCGCCGAGTTGATTTTCAACTTCGGTCTTATATATCTTAAACGCCTCCACAACCTCGTCTTTGCTTCTTAACAAATATAAGTAGAAAAATCTTGTGCAATCATCGATAAAAGTAATAAAATACTTTTTACCCGTTCTTGTTTGCACACTTTTCACATCACATACATCAGTATGGATCAAGCCTAATGGTTCAGTACTTCTTTCCACTGAGTGGAAAGGCAACTTAGCCATTTTGGCTTCAACACAAATTCCACATTTCTTATGTGATTCAATTTTAGAATTGAGAATTAACTATAAATTCATCAACCGTTTAATTGCATTTAGATTTACATGTCCCTATCTAATATGTCATAAGTCAGAGCACTCGACGATATAAACAGAAATAGGCTTTTCATTATCATTGGAAACTGTTACACGGCTTACAACCATTACATTCATTTTGAACAAGCCCTTGTCGAGATAACCACGACCAAGGAATTTTCCAAACTTGTTGTTTGTCTCATTTTTGTGTCTTTATTTTGGGTTTATTTTCTTTTTATTTTCCCCACTTGTAGGAGTTCCGTAGTTTATTTGGTCCAATTCTGTGGTTTTGTGCTTTTCTCTTAAGTTTCTTTTTGTTCGTCTTTTTGCCTTGTTTTGCTTCGTGTTTTTATCCGTGTTTGTGTTTTTAGGAGGTAGGTTGTGCTGGTCGAGGATGAAACTGTTGGAGCCGAGACCGTGATACCAAGAATACCCGTTGCCGAGACCAGAAAGCTGAAGGAAGGACCGAAAAAACAGACTGAAGAACACGTCCAGCATTTTTCGTGACTCGCGAAAGGATCGCGACTCGCGAGGATAACAGAGACCAAAAGACAAAGCTCGCGGAACGAGTCGCGACTCGCGAGATAGAGTCGCGACTCGCGAGTTAGGTCGCGATTTTCCCCAGAAGTTGAAGATATTTGAAGACGCACGACTCGCGAGAAGTCGCGGCTTGCGACGTGGAAGAACGTTAAGTCGCGACTCGCGAGATGACCGACGTGAATTTCGAGGCGTGGGTTTTTACATCAAAATTAGGACCTAGGGATCATTATTCACTTCCAGACTTTGTTTTTACATTTTTTCTCTCTAGAAACTCATTCCTTTTCATGCTTTTTCTCTTTTGATTGGATTTGGGGATTGAAAAACTCCCTTTTCTCGCTTTGGATATGGATTGTTCATTGGATTTGACATTGGGATTCTCATTATTAATCATAAGTTCTTTTTTCCCAATTGCTTGTTGATGATGATGGCTTGTGTTTATATGAATTTTGATGTTGAATTCCATATGAGTAGCTAAATCCATTCGCTAGGGATAGGGGATGATTGATTAGGTTCGATTATGATTGCTTGTTCTTGATTGTTCATATCTATTCGAGTTGTGCTTATTCTAGGGTTAGTAGACTGATCACCTTTCTAACCTAATCAATAAACGTGTAGAATCGAGAGGGGAGACATTTTTCGATTTAGGCTCGTTTAGGATAGACTTGTTCGGAGACGTATTGTCTATGTGTTGTTGGAATTGATAGTTGATCGTGTACGTTCACTCTCTTGTTACGAAAAGTTATTGAGAGTTGTTTGTCCCATATTTTGTTGCATTTTTTGTGTTTATTTTATCTTTCTTTTTCCCCCGTTTAGGTTGTTTCTTTAGTTTTTAGCCCGTTTCGTGTTTTATTATGTGTTTTCCTTCATGTTGAATCATTAGGTGTTTTTTGTTTGTTTTTCCGGTTTTCTTTTGTGTTTTGTCATTTTTGGTGTGTAGGTCGAAAGATTCGAGCAAATTTTCTCTTCAGGAAAAGTTGGTTTCGAGAACATAACTGGATAGAGGGGTTCGTTAGCGACGCATAGGAAAAAACGGAATTCAATTCCGAGTTCGGACGAGCTCAAACGAGGCGAAAACGCAAAATGGCGCAGTGCAGCCCAGAATCTCGCGAGTTGCGAGCACAAAGTCGCGAGTCGCGAGTTTAGGTCGCGACTCGCGAGAGAAAAGTCACAACTCGCGACTTTAACAGAGCCTCCAGCAGCCCAGCGACCCATCCAACTCGCGACTCGCGAGTAAACTCGCGAGTCGCGACCCTGTCGACCCATGTTTTTATTTTTGCTCGTTTTTACTCGTTTTAGCTCCGTTTTTCGCGCACTATATATCAAATCGAACCTCCAAACCTAAGGAACAACCCCTGATATCGTTCCTTTCAAGTTTTCTCTCCAAAAACTCAATATTGTTAGGATAATTTTC